GGTTAGACTTTCTGTAAGACAAGGTTAAAAAAAAAAATAAAGTCCCACAAAACAAGATGTTTTAAGAGTCAGAGGCCAGGCTAAAACGAAAGCTGTAGAGTTAAAATGGTAGGCACACCTCTGTGGTGAGGGAATGCCAACCTTAGGGGCTGCCAAAAAAAAAAGTCCCCTCCTAGGATGCCCTGCCCTGCCCTTCTGATGGTGTTGGAAGCTACCAAGAGAACCGCCCTGCTGATCTAAACACCAAAGAGGCATTATAGGGCATGAAATGGTCTTTCAGATATTTGAGGCCTAAGTCATTTAGGTTAAAGCTTCCCTCACCTCTTGGAAAAGTGATGCTGAGGGTTCATCTATACTGCTGTTTAATATAGTCAGCTTCCTCTGCTTCCATTCTACATTGTCAACATGAGGTTCTCCTCTAAATCACTGCTTTCACACACATTCCCCTCCCTCAGCCCAGACTTTCTCACCCCTTCTTCTTTTCAGAGTATCCCTGGTATGGGAAAATATGGAATGAGGGAGGGGAAATCGTGGGGAGGCAGAGATTTGGAGAAGGATGTCATATGGTCAACCGAAAATTAGTAGAGGTGCAGGAAGCTTACTATCCAATATGAAACACAAGTGTAGATGAGCCCTGATAGCAAAGCTCAACTGGTCATCTATATGGATCCATTGTAGCAAGTAACCAGTTTGTGAGAGGACTTTTCAGTGGAGGCCTGCAGTGGACTAATTACATTATATTTCCAGTTCACAAAAATTAACTTTGATTTCTTCTACTTTACTAACAACAATAACAAAAAGACTCAATGGCATCATTTAGCCTACTTATAAAAACCAGCCTGTACAGTTTTGCAAAGCAGGCAGTGTGGGGCCCTCTTCTTACACAAATCCAAGATTCAGATTACTTGGTTGGGTGGCTTTTAGCCAAAGGAATTCATTCCTTCATGTAACTGGAGCACATCTTCAAACCGCAGGCAGTCAAATCATTTTACGATCCCCCTTCTCCTGACAGAAGATGCATTGTGCTGTTGGGGCATTTATGTAAGGGTGGATCCCAAATGGACCTGGAGCATCTGAAAAGCAGCCTCTTTATTTGCTCGGGGACTTATGGGGGGCTGGACCAGTCATTAAAACTATCTAGGTAACTGCCCCGGGATGCCAGACTTAAGGCTATTGCTCCTTTGGATGGAGTTCTACAAAGCAAGCTTTCCACCTGCTACTGCCAGCTAGAGAAACAACCACACAATGCACTTCAGTATTGTGCAACTAACTCCAAAGTATCCAGGTGGAATTTTAAAGGAAGATGGGAGGCTTCTGGGGCAAATGAAATAATTACCCAGGAAAAAGGCATTAATACTATTGCACTCCACCCCAATTATGGCGAGTGTGAGATTCCAGGGCTTCCAGACCCAGACTCCATGTTTCCTTTTGGAAATGATGCACAGCGGAGACGGTGGTATATTTATGATATGTGGTGTATTTACACATATATACAAGCAGTTCGAAAGCAAATCAAAAGTGCAAGTAGATAAATAGGTACTGCTCCGGCGGGAAGGTAAACGGCATTTCCATGTGCTGCTCTGGTTCACCAGAAGCAGCTTAGTCATGCTGGCCACATGACCCAGAAGCTGTATGCCGGCTCCCTCGGCCGATAAAGCGAGATGAGTGCCGCAACCCCAGAGTCGTCCGTGACTGGACCTAATGGTCAGGGGTCCCTTTACCTTTACAAGCTGAACCTATGATCGAAAGATTCACAAGAGGGTCTTGCTTCTCCCATAGCGGCAGCCAAGGATTCAGACAGACATCAGCCATGCCTCTGAACCCTCTCTCCAGCTTGCCGCCTTTACCAGACTGCAACCTTTTCCCTCCAATTCACATTGCAGCCACCTCTAAAGACTCTACCTCAAACTCTGACTAACTAACTCTGAGTTAAGGGATTTGCTGTCTGGCACAGAGCCCCATCTCTTTGACTTTCCTAATAGCCCATCACCCCAGGTGATTTCCTCAACAGGAAGGGGACTTGGCTTATATTTTAACATTTGCTGAATCCAGGGGTTCAGTGTCTGGCACCCAGAAACTCAGAACACAGGGGAGTCTGTCACCCACAAACCCATAAAACTACACATGGAAAGGACAGACATCCCCAGATGGTGAAACTTCCTTGGAACAAGTAGCTTTTTAATGCAAGCGGTTGGGATGCCATCTCAGGTTGCCACCCAGCGTAAAAGCCTTACCTTCTAGCTTGACGCACAAGCCAGAAGTGGAATTCTTCCTTATCCCAAGACAGCTTGGATAGGACAACTATCCCTTATGTACAACCCACCCACCCAAAGACTACCCATACATTGCTTATTTAACTCACCTGGTCATGGGAGACTTCTGCAGGTCCCTGGACCACCCGATTGAGTCACATGACACTCCTGCAGTTCTGCCAGCAACTTGACAGCATCACATGTGTGAATGCTGGCAGGAAGGTGAATGACAGCTGCCGGGAAACCTGAGTGCAATTGTGCTCATGACCTGCTTGTGGACTTCCCAACTGCATCTGTTTGCCCACTGTGGGAGCAGAATGCTGGACTAGATGGGCCTTTGGCCTGATCCAGCTTGGATCATGTTATTCTGCGGGTGTTTATTGCAAACCGGGTGGCTTCATTGCTGCAGAGCATAACAGGAGCTGCATGGTAATAAAGGGTAAAGGGGACCCCTGACCATTAGGTCCAGTCATGACCGACTCTGGGGTTGCGGCGCTCATCTCGCTTTATTGGCCGAGGGAGCCGGCGTACAGCTTCCAGGTCATGTGGCCAGCATGACTAAGCCGCTTCTGGCGAACCAGAGCAGTGCACGGAAATGCCGTTTACCTTCCTGCCAGAGCAGTACCTATTTATCTACTTGCACTTTTTGGCCTGCTTTTGAACTGCTAGTTTGGCAGGAGCAGGGACCGAGCAATGGGAGCTCACCCTGTTGTGGGGATTCGAACTGCCAACCTTCTGATCGGCAAGTCCTAGGCTCTGTGGTTTAACCCACAGCGCCACCCGCGTCCCTATGCTGCAGAGCATAACAGGAGCTGCATGATAATAAAGAAAACTAAACTGGGTGTGTGTTTTTTAAAACTAATTAAGATCTAAACAGAACAGCTCCTATATTAGGGAACAAAATAACGGTACAGTCACCTCCCGCAAACTGTATTATATAGGAAGATCATTCACACTTCATTGCCTAAAATGGCATTTACAGGTGCTTTAGTGCATTTCACACTTCAGAACAACAATTGTAGAAGGTGTTAAACAAAGAAGAAGGTGTGAGTGGGGTCCCCCCCCCCTTTCAGGCATCTGAGGACTTTATAAGGCAGAAACTAGCCTGATGCAGAGAAACATCGGCTTGCCAGTTTGGAAAGGGGGATGTTTGGTACCACAGTTTGGGAAACGACTGAGGGCATTTATAGCAAGCTTTTATTACAGGCCTATCATTATAGCTTAGGAAACGGAAGCTGGTGTGGTTTGGACACGGAGGGAGCAGTGCTTGGGAGCCATCCAATTTCTACCCTTAACCTGGGGTCAGGCTCTCGTTCTGCCTTTGGTTTCCTCCTGGGAAGTTATGGCGAGGTTTCACATTTTTTATTTTTTATTTTCTATATTAAGAAGCAAACCAACACGACCACATTAAACAAGGGTCCGACAAGTGGCGTTCCAGAGGGCGTGTTTCACACTTAGCTGCCTAACAATTGTGCAATGTACACATGGAAAGCAGGTCCACGTATAACAAACAGCCTTATGGAAAGTAATCCACAAAACACATCTAGACCTATAGCAAAACCAACATATCCCTCCAAACTGGTTGCTGATTTAGAGACCATCAATGGGCTGTAGCCAATGCATCCTATCCACTAGGATGAGGACTCTTGTTCCTGTGGGCAGGTGAGTTTTAAGGTTGCACAACGATGCAACATTTGCAATAGCACCAACATTCTCCTGCACAACAACATTCAACTGCTGCGAAACACTAAGCCTGCGGAAGGAAGTTTACCGATAAGTGACTTTGACTTAGTGCTATGTTGGCTACAACCCTAGGTTCCTCCGGGGTGCAATTAATAAATGAAAGAAGCTGGATCTTCATTTCTTCAAATGTGTCATGCTCAATGTCTCCTCTAGCTAGGCAGCCACTGCCAGCTGCCAGCCTCTGTCATCCCATCTCTTTCAGACAAACTCCTTCTCACCTATCCAACAGTGCGCTGGCAGCTAAGAGGAGGTAAGCGATGAAATCCTTGTGAAGTAAGGGGTTATTTTTACCCCAGAAGGAAGGCAGCAGAGCAAGACCTGAATCCATATTTACTTCTTGTTGACCCACTGTCACTGTAACCATATAGACTGCCAAAATTCCCTCGAACTTTGCTCCCACCAGAGATGTAGCAAGGATCCTCATTCCCAATTTTCTTTTTCTTTTTTTAATTGAGGTGGAGAGGCTTATAAACAGGGTTATAAGGTTTGGCCAATGAATCATATAATTGTTAGAAGGGACCTTAAGGGTCATCTAGCCCAATTGCTCAATTGATTATAAAAACAGGTTTTCTCGTCCATATTTTTTATAAAGTGCCACAGAATAATCAGCCATCAGATTTCCTTTAAAATTATGATGATTATTTTTTAAATACAAAGTACTGCGAATGGCCTGTGGCATTTGGAAGAAATGTTTGCTAAAATGCTGATTAATTTTTATGAAGATTCGTTTTACCCCACAAAACCCCCCCCCCAGAAAAATCGCAAACCAATGAGGGAATGTGGCAAATTTAACTCAAGGCTAGAAAGGAGAGAATGCGAGAGAAGCCAGCATTAGCAGCTTCAGCCATCCATGGTACCAGCCTTCTCTTGCTCTCTGCTGCATTGCAACACAAGCATCCCATCTCTGCTCAGGTGGGAGGAGAAAGGAGGGCAGTGGGATGAGGAGAAATAGACAGGAGAAACATCAGGGGGGAGAGGAAACTGGACAATGGGACCAAATGGAGAAGGGATGTAGCTCAGTAGCAGGGTATCTGCTGTGCATGCAGAAGGTCCCAAGTTTGATCCCTGGCATCTCTAGGTAGGGCTGGGACTAAACCCCCTGGAAAGCCATTGCCAGTGGTATGGACAATACAGAGCAAGATAGACCATTGGTCTGACTTGGTAGAAGGCAGCTTCCTATACAGTTCTTAACTTGGGTTAAGAACTTAATTCGTTCTGGAGGTCCGTTCTTAACCTGAAACTGTTCTTAACCTGAAGCACCACTTTAGCTAATGGGGCCTCTGCTGTCGCTGCACCGCTGCTGCACGATTTTTGTTCTCATCCTGAAGCAAAGTTCTTAACCCATGGTACTATTTCTGGCTTAGCGGAGTCTGTAACCTGAAGCGTATGTAATCCAAGGTACCACTGTACAGTGGTACCTCATGTTACATACCATCCCCCTTAGGAATGCTTCGGGTTACATGCTCCGCTAACCCGGAAGTAGATGCCCCTTGTGGCGAACACTGCCCTGGGATGTGAGCGGAAATTGTGCTCCGGCAGCAGTGAGAGGTGCTATGAACGAAAGTGCGCCTCATGTTATGAGCGGTTTCTGGGTACGAATGGACCTCCAGAAGAGATTAAGTACATAACATGAGGTACCACCGTATTGCTAAAGCAAGAGAAGAGAGAGATGGAAGGCACATTCTCTGTGCCTGAAATAAAGATTGGGCACGTCACCTTATAGGAAACAGAGGGGCGACGTTGTGGAGCGACTGCAAAGCCCTACAGTACAATGCAGGTTCCTTTTCATCTCCTTGAAGTGGCAGAGGGTGGGGAGACAAACTCTAAGCAAGCCTGCTTTTGCATTCTAATGCAGAATCTGGGTGATCCGGGAATTCTCTTTCAGACTTGAGAAATGGGGCATTTCTCTCCTGCCATCGTTTGTCTAGCATACAAAGCGAGCAATTAAGCATCAACGGTGACAATCGTTTCTGGTCGGAGGAAACCACCGCCGGTGCTCATCTGGCATTAGGAAATCTGCACAGCGAAGCATACGCAACCAGTCTCCGGCAACCGTGCGCACGGCGGAGCCGTGTGGCAGCCACACCTGACGGAGCCCCCCGGCAACCTATTTCCCCAGAGCACAAAGCCCGGAGAAGGAAGTTCCACTTGGCTGCCTTTCGCCTGGATGTATACACAGCGGCAGTCCGAAGGCCATGTTGCTCGCTGATAGCAAATCGATGCCACTGTAAACACGGGAACAAAGGAGCTTGCAAAGGAGAAGAAGAGGGAAGGAAGGGGAGATGGAGACCCGATAAGCAGCAAAGGCTAAAACAATGTTGGGGAAAGTGTGCAGAAAAGCAAAACACATATTCATAATACGGTAGAAATGGCCTGAGAGCATATCCCAATAGGTCAACAGGAAAGGGGCCCTATGGAATAGGCATGGGGACAGAGTCGGCATTTGCAATCGGATCCTGCCACGCCAATATGACCAAAGATGTGTTAGGACCTAAGCTGTAGCTCAGTGGTGCCACATTTGCTTTGCATGCAGAAGGTCCCTGCCTTGATCTCCGGCGTCTCCACATAGGGCTGGTAATGTCCCCTGCCTAAAGCCCTGGGGAGTTGCTGCCAAACAGTGTAGACAGTACAGTGGTACCTCGGGTTACATACGCTTCAGGTTACAGACTCCGCTAACACAGAAATAGTACCTCGGGTTAAGAACTTTGCTTTCAGGATGAGAACAGAAATCGGGCGGCGGCGGCCCGTCAGCAGCAGGAGGCCCCATTAGCTAAAGTGGTGCTTCAGGTTAAGAACAGTTTCAGGTTAAGAACAGACCTCTGGAACGAATTAAGTACTTAACCCAAGGTACCACTTTACTGATCTAGATGTGCAAGTGGTTTGATGTGGTATAAGGCATCTTCCAGGGACGCGGGTGGCGCTGTGGGTTAAACCACAGAGCCTAGGACTTGCCGATCAGAAGGTTGGTGGTTCGAATCCCCACGACAGGGTGAGCTCCCGTTGCTCGGTCCCTGCTCCTGCCAACCTAGCAGTTCGAAAGCATGTCAAAGTGCAAGTAGATAAATAGGTACCGCTCCGGCGGGAAGGTAAACGGCATTTCCGTGAGCTGCTCTGGTTCGCCAGAAGCAGCTTAGTCATGCTGGCCACATGACCCGGAAGCTGTATGCCGGCTCCCTTGGCCTATAGAGATGAGCGCCGCAACCCCAGAGTCAGTCATGACTGGACCTAATGGTCAGGGGTCCCTTTACCTTTACCTTTAAGGCATCTTCCTAAGTCCATTTACTGAACCTGCTCATCCCGTTGTTGACTTCCTATAGACAGTTCCACAGCGTGACAAGCTTAAATCCCAGGGCAATCAGCTGGCCTCAGCTCACTAGCTTTGAAGTTTTTGAGTGAAGGAGTTTTGCTGCAGTGTTGTTGTAAAATAACAAATGAGTTAGCATTCTGAATGAGAATATACGACATAAAAGCTCTCTCTCTCTTGTTCCTCAATTTCCCCATTTCCCAGGGGAAATAACTGGGGAAAGTCCCTCCAAAAAAAAAAGTCCCTTTTTTTGTCTTTCAGGGGTTGGCTGCCATAAGACCCTGCCCCGTGACATCATTACACCCCACCAAACAAGTCTCAGGCTTTCGAAAATATGAGACCTTGTGACCCTGGTGCCTTTGCATTTTTCCTGTGGTACTCATCCGGATCTAACTGACTGGCTGCAGATAAACATTCCCCCACCTCCACATCCCATTCCTGAGTCACTCGCTTTCATTTGAATTAGAACTGGACTGGGGGTGACTTATCATTGTGACCACTGCAATTGCAACATTTCCAGGAAGGTCTGAACAGTTCAAAGTGTCTGACGCCAAGATGGCTTTCTGTTCCCTCCAGCTGCTCTTCAACCTTGCAGCTACTTCGGTTGTCCGGAAAACAATGAAAGAGACCCACCGTTTCCCTGCATGAGTACTATCCTTGATGATAAGTGATGTTGTCATATTCTAGGGCCATTAATGTTTGAAGGGTCCCTAGCAGAACCCCTTAATCTATCCATCCCACACTACTTTCCTACACTCAGAACGTAAGGGTTAGGATCCCAGAAAGGAACAAATGCGTTTCCCCAAGAGTAGAGGTGAATCTGTGGCATGCAGAGGGGGCAGTCTATAGGTCTGTTGCTGGAGAGGAGCCACAAAAACTAAGAGGGGGCCAGTGGCAGAGCTCATGCTTTGCATGTAGAAGAGCTATCGGTTTTCAACTCTTGGCATCACCCGCAAAAAACAATCCAATGGTTTGGAGAGAAGTCCCACTCTGCCTGAATCCCATGAGAACGTCCGCAGGTCAGAGAGATAATACCCAGCTAGGGTTAGGAATGAAAGAATCTGTCAGTATCAATTCTCTCCATTTCTTATTTTTCCACTCTTAAATTCACATTTCTGCAGCAATTCATTTTTAGTTTTTTTGGTTTTTGTTTTAATCTTCAAGAAAATTCATCAACATTGTAGTGAGAATTTCTCCAAACACATTTTTTGTGTGTAAGTGGTTTGGACTAATGTGCACATTTTGGCAAGCAGTTGCCTACTTATTACAACTAAAGGATTCCACCAGTTCCAAAGACCCACGCAATAACTCACGATTTATGTAAAATGTGAAGAAGCTGTTTAAAATGACGCAGATGTGTTTTGGGTTGTAAAAAAAACTGGTTAACGCCATACGCCAACTGTTTGCATTGTCTGTTCTCAGGCCCAATCTGCACTATCCATTTTAAAGCAGTATCATACCGCTTTAAGCAAGCATAGTTTCCCCCAAAGAATTCTGGGAAGTGTAGTTTGTTAAGGGTACTGAGAGTTATTAGGAAACCCCTAGTTCCCTGGGGAGAAGGATTGAAAAGCAGATATTTAAAACTCTGCTTTAAATATATCTCTACCAATTCTCAGCACCCTTAACAAACCACACTTCCCAGAATCCTTTGGGGAAAGTCGTGACTGCTTAAAGTGGTATGATACTGCTTTAAAATGTATAATATAGATGGAGCAGTTATCATAAGAACAGCACATAGACAGAAAGGTGAACTTGACAGAAGCTAAGTGCCTCATCGGAGGCCTCCATTTGACCTACGGAATCTTTCTCGTATAAAATGAATACACGCTGGGCCCCCACCCCATCCCTGCCTTTGACTTAGTAACTCTAATCTTCAAAGAGAAATCCAGGCCAGGGAATCCTAGTCCAATATGTACATTCAGTTCTCCTCCGGTAATATCCTTTCCACAGAAGTGCCATTGTTACCATCGGCTATGGATTCTTTAAACTCAAAAGGCTGGCCAGCTGTCGAAGTGTGAATAGGGGGTGTTTGGCCCTTTAAGAACTGTGTGCCTAATGTCCGCTGGTGTGTTGGGGGGGGGGACAGAGCGGGGTGGGGGGTGGGGAGAGAGACTGTATCCTTGTGCCGACTTCACTCAGAGCAGGCCGAGTTAAACAAAAATATTACAATAGCAAGAACTCATCTGGAACAAATAATTTTTGGAGGCCACCACCAGGAGCGAAAGAAAGAAAATGGACTTTCGGTTTGGTGGAGGAGGATGCAAAGTCTACGCTGCCCCCTGCCGCATTTGAAGAGCACTGCAACAAGCAGGGAAGTTTTCGATTTAACAGTGTTTCTTTTCGGTCTGCTGCAACGGAGGGGGCACTGTACTCAAAAGGGGGCCCGAGAAACCTGGCAACATGATCTGTTTTAGCAAAAATGTACCAGGCCCTGCAGAATCTTGTCTTGAGATCCCTCCATCTTGTATGACCCAGTCCTTTGTTGTCCAAAAAGCTTACTTTGAAGCTTAAACCATTTGCGGTTTCTTGCTTCTGTGCTTTTTACAGAAAACCTTTGCAGTAGCTCAGTGAGCCGTTACCTAGATGCTTCTTTTTGCTGTGATTTCAGCTGAAGTTTGATTTCTTATATTTTATTGCCACCCCCCCTTTCTGAGGTATGCTGCAATGGGGGGGGGGGGTTGTGGGGTAGGGTGTGGGGTAACTCTGCCTTATGCTCTTGCCAACTGTTGTTTTATTGTGACCAGTCGTCAATTTCCAAACTTTTAGTTGGAGG